ACCTGTTGTGCCCCTCTGGGAAGATATTCTGCTCTTGGACTAGGTAGGTGGTTCTGTCCCCTACACTCTCTGCAAGGATTGCAGCTGCAGTGTTTCACCTCAGGCCTTATGCCAGGCCTGAGCTGAGTCTGGAGGGGACAAGGTGGAGTAAGGGGGAGAGGCAGCTCTCCCACACACTCACTGGGTGTGGGCTAGGACTGGATCTGGGTGTTTCCAGAACGTGACAGAAATTCCTACTCAGTGGGTGGGCTGGGGGGGTACTGCGGTAAGGTGGAGGGCATCACAAGTGGGTGAAAGAGGGTCTCACCCACCCTGCACCTGGACTGGGACCAGTAGGTCCCACTGGCACACGTTAGCCAAAGTTCTCCCACAGACTTACCAGGACTGGGGTAGGACTGGATCTATTACTTCCTCTATTAACACAGCACATTGAAAATAGTATTTACTTTTTCGATAATGCAAAATTAATTAATTAATTATCAGTTTTTAAAAAATATATTATATGTTTGCAGGGTCTCACTGCAGTTTGGACTCGTGGTGATCCTCTTCCTTTCAGCCTCCCAAGAGCTAGGATTATAGGTGTGCACCACTATGCCTAGACCGTGGCCAGCTTGGCCCATTCTGGGGGCCAGGCTGGTGTGGCATGTAGTTCTTGGGATCGAACCATGGTGCCTGTGCTTGATTAAGTTTGCCTAAGCAGGTGCTTCAGTCCACTGAGGCTGATATATTTCTCTGGCCATGCTAATTTTATTTTAAAGAGAGAATAAAACAATAAAAGTGATACAAACTTTGAAAACTAGATGATAATAAATTAATAATGGTTATTATATTGCTTATTCTTATCACAGAGTAGTTGTTCCAATTACCAGATATTGGCATTCAAAATTAATCCAACAATATAAATACTATTTCTTTCAATAAACTAATATAAGTAGTACAGTTATCTTATATCTTCTTTCCTCCTTCTTTCTTTTTTATTCCATCCCACAGACTTACCAGGTCTGGAGTAGGACCAGTTCTTTCATTTTAAGCAGTTCTTTCCTTTTTATAATATCTATTTTACCTTTTGGGTCTTACTTACTCTTTTAGTTTCTTATACTGGGGAGAAAATACAGTATTTATACATGACTCTGATTTATTTCACTTATGAGTATCTCCTATAGTTGAATCCATTTACCTATAAAATCCTTGAGTTTTTCTTTATTTATAGCCAAGTAGTACTGCATTGTATAAAAATATCATTCCTCAGATGATGGCCATTTGGGTTGTTTCCAAAAGTTAGCTGTGACAAGCTGCACTGCTGTAAACATGACTGCACATGTATGTCTGTGGTGTGATGTTTTCATTTCTTCTGGGAAAAACCCAGAAGGAGAATAGCTGAGTCAAATGACACCTCTAATCCTAGTTTTATCAGGAATCTCCATATTGTTTTCTATAGTGGATGTATCAATCTACACTTCAATCAATTTTGAAAAAAATCTTTCTTTTTTCCTACAACCTCACCAGCATTTTTTATTGGTTGATTTCTTCACGATAGCCATTCTTTCTGGAGTGAGGTGGAATCTCAGTGTTGTTTTATTTTGCATCTCTCAAATGAACAATGATGTTGAACAGTTTTTCCTATATTTCCTTGTCATTTGTATTTTTTCTTCTGAGAAGTATATATCCATCTCGGATGCCCATTTTTGGATTGGCTCTTTAAATTTGTGTCCCCAATTTCTTGAAATTCTTTATATGTTTTATATAGTGATCCTTTGTCTGAAGGACAGTTGGCTAATTATTTTCCCCAATTTGTGAGTTTTCTTTTTGTTTTGTTGGTGATTTCTTTTGATATGCAAAACCTTTTTAATAAGATGAGATCCCAGGAGTCACTTCTTTGAAGTATTTCCCATGCAGTGGGAAATTTTATTTTAGCTTTTCTTTTTAAATACATTTGCGTGATATTTGCAGAGTGTTAAATCTCTGGGTTGACTTCTTTCATCAGTTTGAAAAAATTCTTGCTCTTATTCCTTCCTTTCTTTTGTTGTATCCTTTCCCATGTCTTTCTGACATTCTATAGTAAATATTTATGTTAATTATATTCACCCACACGTTGCTTAGAATGCCTGAGTAATTTACAGTCTTTTTTTTCTTTATGTGTCAGTTGAGATTTTTTTTTTTTTTACTGACTTAGCTTTCAATTTACTAACCTTTTCTTCAGCTATTTTAACTACTGTAAAAATCAATCTGGGGCTGAGGAGATAGCTCAGTGGTCTATGTGTCTGCCTGACAAGCACCAGAACCCAGGTTGGATCCCAGGAACCAAATGCCATGCCTGCTCTGGAACCATTGGAGTGTTATGCTGGCCACCAAAACTGGGTGTGGTGGTACAAGCCTGTAATCCCAGTGCTAGGGAGGCTGAGATAGGAGGATCACTATGAGTCTGAGACGTGTAGGGAGAACATATATGAAATAAATAAAAATAAGGTTTAAAAAATCAGCTTGTGTTCTTAATTTAAGGTACATTATTTTTCAGTTTTAAATACTTCTTGAAAGGCTGATATCCATGAAAAAATTCTGTATGTTTTCAATGATTTTCCTTCACTTTTTACGCTTTGTTTTCTCAAAAATATTAATAATTGTTTTAAAGTCATTATTAATCCTAATATTTGAATTATTTATCATTTAGTTATGTTCTATTAATTTTTTTCTCTTGGTATTTGATCACAAACTGTCTTTTGGAATGCTGTATAATTTTTAATAGAGTGCCATATGTTGTATATATAACATGGTAGAGATTCTAAGTAGTGTTTTCTACTGGCGCGGTTTCATTCACACTTCCCCTGTAAAACATTCAAATGAGAAGAGATCAGTTTTAATCCAACCCAGTACTGTACCGATGAGGATTTTTTGGTTAGTGCATCATTTACCTCTGGTTATTTCACATTCTCCAGTGTAATCCTCTTGGGATATTGGGAAGTGAACCTGATATATTGAGAACAATGTTTCTAACTGGTTCTTAAGAATATATAATCTTTGTCGTTTCTGTGTTTTAGTGTTTTGGCTTAGATATTTTTAAGTACAGCATCCCTGCCTTTATTTCTTGTAAATATCTTGGTGGGGAAACAGATCTTGAATTCTGAGATACTCAGGTCTGCATATTTATCATTCTGTCACAACAAGAAGGCAATATGATACTTTCTCAGTCCTTTAGCAGCAGCTCATGGCTAGGTCTAAGCCAAGTTCTTACTGTGTTGCCTATTATCAGAAAAACCAGCCAAGAAGAACCAGCCATTCAATAGCTCATGTCTCAAGGCTTCTACTCTTCATATTCTTAGGTCTTTCATATGTTGTAATCCTACTACTATATGAAGCCTTGAATAAGGAAATTTTATTATATTCTGTCTGATTGATTTTTAATAATTCACAGTAGTTATGATTTAGTTATTATTCATTTATTTGGAATTTTATTCAAGCTTGCATATTTCTATCTTCTAAGCTGTAAAAATTGCAAAATTCTTTGAAATTTCCTTATATCAAAATTTCTAGGATCATGTGAATAGCGATAGTACAATTATTATAAAAGAAAATTATTTTTAGCTTCAATGCTATAAAAACCATTTAGTAATAATGCTGGCTCAGATGCTGCCGTATTTGAAGGCTTTTGCACCTTTTGCAAGTTATGACTGTGACTTTTGTTTTTGAAAGTGATAGACTCTACATACTTTCTTTTAAGTGACTTGGTAGAAATAATATTGTGAAGAAAATAGTGGAGAAATGCCAACTTAAACATTTGTGGCAGAAAAATAGATAGTTTCGCAGAGTGCTTTGGGGATGGATATTTCTTTAGCAAATTAATGTCTCCATACATAATCCCACTGCTACTGTCAAATTCTAAAATATTAAACATAAAATTATGAAGTAGAAGTGGTGCTGTACAAAAATGAAAAAATAAATCCTTATCCATTTTATGCAAAAAAGTTACTGCTGTTTATAGAGTTTAAATTATTAAATGAATCTAAATGAACAAATTATGATAAATCAGAAAATATAAGGATGAATTGCTAATTAAAGTTTTAGATTGCAAGCTTCCTGTAGCCTATTAATTTATATCTTCAATGTAAATGAAGGGATATTCTTTAATATATTGTTGAATATTTTGCTTAGGAAATGTGTAAGTCCAGAATTGCCAAGTTCTTAAGTTAAATAGTTATAGCTAATATGTTTTATTTTATGTATTAGTAATAAATTGTTAGCAAATAGCACTATATAATTGAATAAATATTTTATGCTCATATGTTATTGAGATTACAATCTGCCAGTTGTAAAATAGAATATGATTATTAGCTGAATTTGATGCTATAGTATAGCTAAGAACTCACCTCTAATATGTATTAGTAATGTATTTGAACCCATCATACTTTTTAAAAGCTTCATATAATCAACTTTGTTTCCAAAGTAGTATATTATTGACCAAATCCTTTTTATTCATATCCCATATAAAAATTTATTTTT